AGATAGAGGAGTGTTAGGCCTCCTACTTTGTTCTTCTTCTTCAATATTACTTTAGCTATTCAGGACCTCCTTTCTTTCCATATAAAGTTAGAGATTAGTTTTTCCATTTCATTAAAGAATGTTGTTGGGATTTGGATTGGGATTGCATTGTATCTATAGATGGCTTTGGGCAGTATTGACATTTTCACAATGCTAAGTCTTCCTATCCAAGAGCATGGAATGTTTTTCCATTTATGAAGATCTCTTTTAGTTTCTTGCAGTAGTATTTTGCAGCTTTCTTCGTATAAGTCTTTTACATCCCTGGTTAGGTTTATTCCTAGGTATTTTATGCTTTGGGGGGCTATTGTAAATGGTATTGATTTCTTGATTTCCTTTTCAGAGTCCTCCTTGTTAGTGTAGAGGAAGCCAACTGATTTTTGTGTGTTGATCTTGTATCCTGCCACTTTGCTGAATCCTTCTACTAGTTCCAGTAACTTTCTTGTGGTGACTTTGGGATTTTCTATGTATAAGATCATGTTATCTGTGAATAAGGCTAGTTTTACTTCTTCCTTTCCAATTTGGATGCCCTTTATTTCCCTGTCTTGCCTTATTGCTCTAGCTAGGACTTCCAGTACAATATTGAATAAGGGTGGAGATAAAGGGTATCCTTGCCTCGTTCCTGTTCTTAAGGGGAATGTTCTCAATCTTTCTCTGTTGAGAATAACGTTGGCTGTTGGTTTTGCATATATACCCTTAATTATGTTGAGGAATTTCCCTTCTACTCCTATTTTGCTGAGAGTTTTTGTCAGGAAAGGATGTTGAATTTTATCAAATGCCTTTTCTGTGTTGATTGAGATAATCATGTGATTCTTTTCCTTTGCTTTATTTATGTGATAACCGACCATTGTTTCCTGGTGCTTCCCTCTAGAAACACGCCTGTCTGTTTGCTCGAGAACAGCCCATCAGAGGTCTGGAGACAAGGATTTTGGGCTCCCTCAGCCTGGATGAGGGCCTTCTATGAATGGCCTGGCTGTTAATCTTGAGATTCAAATCCATGGCCTGTTTGTGGAGAGGCCTCTGCTCATCTTAGCTTCTCCCCTGTCCTCTTCTGCATGGAAACTCGCCAAGGGCAGGGCTAGTCTGCCACTCATCTCTATGTTCATGGGGTAATGAATGGATTGGAACATTCACACCTACTTCAACAGCTGCTGGACGTGTATGCATCAACCCTTAGTGGGATTAGCCATCCTCCCCTCCGTGTGGGCTGTGAGCACAGCCGGTGGAAAATCACACCCATCGCTGCTGCTTAATTACTTTATTGGAGGACCGGGTACATGGGTGTTCGCCACCTGCCGGACAACAGAGGCGCCTCTACCCCCTTCCCCACCAGGAGAACTCTGTCCTCACTTTTTCCCACCATCCTATGGGACCCACAGGTGTTGCCCAATGTTAACTGGCACTCTGGGGACCAGAGAAGGGTAAAAGAGCTAACTCATGCGCTGGGCTGTGGGGCTTTGGGGCAATTTCTAAAAAGAAATGGACAAGCTGAGCTTTTGTTAAGGAAACGGATAGTGGTGATGGCTGCATAACATAATGGACATAATTAATGTCACTGAATTGTACATGTAAAAAAATGTCGAAATGGCAAATGTTTGTTTTATATGTGTGTGTACAGTGTGTGTGTATAGTGTGTGTGTGTGTGTGTATATCACAATGTTAAAAAATAAGGAGAAAAAAAGAAAGAAGAAATGGATGCTGATCACCTTCAATGCTTTGGAATGTTTTCTCCTCCCAGTGCTTGGGCTTTGATGCCACAGGCTCAGGGTTGGAAAATGAGTCTCCTGCTTTAATTCTCAGAGTTGCCATGCATACATGACACACTCCCTACCACTTCAAAGGCATGTAGATCATATGAAATGCGACTGTCAGGATTGTGTATCTCCACTTGCCTTAAGCACATAATAATTGCATAATAATGACACTGCTCAGTTACTGCTACCTCAGTGTTTGCATAAAAAGCATGCAAATCATTTCTGTATACATTTATTTGCTCATGCTTTGTCCAGTCCAGGTCTCAAGGTCAAGGTCAGGAGACCTGACCTATGGGAATCGTGGCTTAATTTGAGGGACTTAAAGGTCATCACACCCAACCCCCATCTGATGCTTTGACCCCCTCCATGCTCCTTGATGAGACTTGTCCTTGAACTCCTCCACTGATGGGGAGCTCACTACCTCTGGAGCAGCCCATTCTCTCTTTGGACAGCCATGACCGTTAGGAAGTTTGAACTTGTTAGGAAAGACATCCCTGAGAAGCAGCATGGAGTTTGTTGATTTATCTCTTTTGTTTTCAAATCCTGCTTTGTTAATTTAACATTGTGTTTCTTTCACATCATTCAATAATCTTAAATTTCTGCATATATACACATCCATGTGTTTACAAATACGACATCACAATAGACATGCACTTTATTACTGCCATTTTCATTAAACAATACATTATCAACATCTTTTCATTTCAATTAACCTACATCTCCTTTCTCATTTTCAATGCCCATGTAATTCTCTATTTTTGAATACACCATAATTAATCAAATAATTGCCTATTAGTAGCTATTTACCTACTGGTTGTTTCCAATTTTTCACTGTAGTGACCAACCCCAGGATGAAGTCTTTGCACACAGTGATTGTTAGGAGAGATGCATAGGAGGGCACGAGAGGGTCAAGGGGGTGTGAGCACTTGAAAAGGCCATTCCAGGTAAAGACAGCAGACTCCTGGTTGAAAGTAATTGTTAATAAATACTGAGAGCTATGCTGAGTACTTTACCCACATTATTATATTTAATCCTCCCCACCCCCAATGAGGTCTGACCATCCCTGCTCTTTGCAGCTGCTTATAAGGGGGCAGCTAGAATGGTCAGGCAGCTGGCCCTGCTCTGACCACCATATATCATGGCCTCTGCAGGGACTCCTTTTTGGGGGTAAGGACATCCCTAGAAGACTGCAAACTGGGAAGGAACTGGGCTTGAGAAGTAAAACGGGCGCCACCCAGAGGCGCTGTAGCTGGTCTTCCCAGGCTCCAAGAGCCTTTCTCTAGGAGTTCAGCCAGGAGCCCTGGTGGTGCAATGGTCAAGCAGTAGGCTGCTAACTTAAAGGTTGGCAGTTGGAACCCACCCAGCGGCTCTGTGGGAGAAAAAGACCTTTTGATCTGGTCCCGAAAAGATTACAGCCGTTCTACTCTGTCACATGGCGTCGCTGTGAGTTCAAAATCTACTCGACAACACCTAACAACAACAACAACAACAACAACAACAAAAAACCAAACCTGTTGCCACTGAGTTGATTTTGACTCATAGCGACCCAATAGGACCGAGCAGAACTTCCCCGCGGGGTTTCCAGGGAGCAGCTGGTGGATTCGAACGGCCGACCTTTCAGGTAGCAGCCAAACTCTTCGCCACTGCGCCATCGGGGCTCCAACAAAGAGTTCAGAAAAGGAAGAAAACAGCACGGGGCGTATGAGGAGTAGGGGTGAAGGCAGAAAAAGTCTCCCATTAGGTGTGGCTAGCAAGTCTCTCCCTTCATCCAATGTCCTCATTTCACTTGGGCATACATCAAATTCCAGCAATCAGAACTGCTTTGGGTTTCTTGTCTGGGTCTCCTGCCAGAATTGGGGCAGGGTTGGGGTGAACGCCCACGCTGGAGGAGGCTGGGGGCCGCAGGAATAAATAACTGAACCTGTTAGAAGCCCTGGTGGTGCAGTGGTGAAGTGCTTGGTTGCTAGCCAAAAGGTCAGTGGTTTGAACCCACCAGCCGTTCCTTGGGAGAAAGATGTGGCAGTCTGCTTCCATAAAGACGACAGCCTTGGAAATCCTATAGGGCAGTTCTACTCTGTCCTATAGGGTTGCTGGGAGTTGGACTTGACTCGATGGCAATGGTTTTTTTGGTTTGGCCAGAACCTGTGCCTTTCCAACAAACCTTCCCGCTAAGCCATGAACACGCTGACACTTGGGCGCCAGGACACTGATCAGAGAGCATCCTTTGTAGTTAACATGAAGACTGAAAACAACTGGTTAAGAAAACTTCAGTTTTTGTGCAATTAAACACTGAGCAATGTGGGAAAGCCCATGGCACTCTATATGAGCTCTAAAATATATTACGACACCTCATCAAAACTAAAGCTTTGGGTTTTTTGTTGTTGACCGTAACGCACCATGTAGCATTAAGGGGGGAGAAAAACCTGCCAATTAAACCATGCTGGAAATTGTACCGGAAGCTCGATTTCAGAGATGATAAAATGTGGGAAAACTATGTAAAATACGGTAGATGGAAGAGCCAAGTGCAGAACAATGTGTACAGAATGCTACTCTATGTGTGTGCGTGCGTGTGTGTGCGTGTGTGTGTGTGTGTGTGTGTTTAGGGAAGGGGCTATGCAATCATACATGCTTTCATAGGCATAAAAAATTCCTGCAAAGATACACAAGAACCTGGAAACAAGGGTGGCTTCGAAGACACCTGGTTGAGGGATTGAGATACAGGGTGGGAGGAAACCCTCTTTTCACCGTTACATTCATTTGTAAAATTTAAACCATGTAATCCCTTTCAAAAGGAGCCCTAGTGGTGCAGTGGTTAAAAGCGCTGGCAGGGCAGTTCGAACCTACCAGCCACTCTTCTTAAGAAAGATGCCGCAGTCGCCTTCCGTAAAATTACAGCCCTGGAAACCCTATAGGGCAGTTCCACTCTGTCCTATACGGTCGTTATGAGTCGGAATCGACTCCAAGGCAACGGGAATTCTTTTTAAAAATAAAACCTTGAAATCCACTAAAAGTAAAATAAAATAGCGCATCCTTCTGGGATGATTAAGGGGAATATTCGGAGCCAGCCTTGGCTGTTGGACCAGACAACCAGTCCTGGCTCTATCATAGCGACCTGCAGTAAGTTCCCATCCCGACTGAGTCTCAGTTTCTCCAAGATTCCAATGGGTGCGGGAGAGCCGATCTCCGGACGCCCCTGGCCGGCGCCCAGACCTAGCAGCCGTCTGCGGGCGCCCCGCGGTGCAGACTCGGCCAATCAGCGGCCGCGGGGCGGGCGGAGTGGTTGCGCCGCGCGCGGAACGGAGCGGGGCGCGGAGCACAGGCGCCACTGCTGTCCCGGAGCAGACCATGGCGCGCTCGCCGGTGCTCTTCCTGCTGTTGTTTCTGCTGCTGCCGCCGCTGGTCGTGGGTCTCGGGCTCCACGGCGTGGGCGGCCGGCGCCCCGAGTGCGGTCCGTGCCGGCCGGAGCGCTGTCCGGCCCCAGCGCGTTGCCCCGCCCCCTGGATCGCTGCGCGC